GCCCGAGGCCGCTTCCAGCAGCGAAGCCATGGCCGGCAGTGCCCGTGACGGGCGGGAGGCGTGGGAGCCCGGGGAGCGGCACCCCGGTGGGCGCGCAGCACCCCTGGGGGTCCCCGAGGTGTGGTTTGGCTCCGGGAGCAAGGGGTGACAGGAGGTGGCGTGGGGACGATGGCAGTGGGGGATGGAGGCCAGGCTGGGTGTCCGGCCAGGGGAGAGCGGAGCAGGAGGGAAAGCGGCTCCGGTCCCCGCGCGGTGCCCATCACTGTGGCATCAGGCCTGTGGTCTGTCCTGCCCTGGCCAGCACTAAGGTGTCCTCCCACCCTTTTCCAGGGGCTGGAGAGTCGGGCAAGAGCACCATCGTGAAGCAGATGAAGTGAGTACGGCCCGAGGACGAGGCACCCAGATTGGGGGGGGGCGGTCACCAGGGCACGAGGGGTGGCAGGACCCTGGCCACCCCCCCACGTCATGCTGGTGGTGGCACCCTGCTGATTCCCAGGGTGGGGTGATGCTGGGAGGGGAGCGGGGGGCACCCCAGGGTGCCGCGGCTTGGGGCTGAGGCCGCCGTGCCCCCCCAGGATCATCCACCAGGACGGCTACACGGCCGAGGAGTGCATGGAGTTCAAGTCCATCATCTACGGCAACATCCTGCAGTCCATCCTGGCCATCATCCGCGCCATGTCCACGCTGGGCATCGACTACGCCGAGTCGTCCCGCGCGGTCAGTCGGGTCCCATGCTCCCCCCCCAGCCCCCTGCCTGGCCCCGGAGGCTTTTTGAGGGACGGGGCCACGGGTGGGCCGGTGGCAAAGGGTCCCTCTTGCAGGACGATGGCCGGCAGCTCTTCAACCTGGCCGACTCCATCGAGGAGGGCACCATGCCCCCCGAGCTGGTCGACTGCATCAAGAAGCTGTGGAAGGACGGGGGGGTCCAGGCTTGCTTCGACCGAGCCGCCGAGTACCAGCTCAACGACTCGGCCGCGTAGTGAGTGGGGTCACCAACTGGGATGGCGGGGGGACAGGGACGCCCTTGGGGACCCCCTGGCTGCTCATTGCCATTTCCCACCCAGCCTGGCAAAATCCATCCCCACCCTGATCCTGGGAATCCACCGTCCTCCATCCCACGGGTGCCAGGGGCTGCAGCCCCCCGCCGTACCCCCACAGCGTCCCTGCAGCCCCCCAGCTCCCCCGGGGACGGCGCTGCCTTGGAGCCCCAGCGTTTGGCAGAGCTTAGCCCCCCCCCATCCCCAAAAAGCCATCGGGGGGGGCGGCGGGACGGCGGCGGGACCTGGGCAGCCCCTCGGCAGCGGGTCACGTCCCCTCCTGTCCCCCCCAGTTACCTGAACCAGTTGGACAGGATCACGGCCCCCGGCTACCTCCCCAACGAGCAGGACGTGCTGCGATCCCGAGTGAAGACCACGGGCATCATCGAGACCAAATTCTCCGTCAAAGACCTGAATTTTAGGTGGGTGGGTGGCCCCTCCATGATCCCCCCCACCCCAGCCCCGACGTGGGGAGGGGGTTTGGGGTGAACCTGATGCTCCAGGGACCACCAACCCCTCCTGGACCAGTCACCGCATCCCTGATGCCGCCGAGGACAGGGTGCTGGGACCATCAGGCTGGGGGGTGGCAGGACCAGATGTGTCACCCCCCCCTCCCCGTCCTTGTCCCCTCCCCAGGATGTTCGACGTGGGAGGGCAGAGATCGGAGCGCAAGAAGTGGATCCACTGCTTCGAGGGGGTGACCTGCATCATCTTTTGCGGGGCGCTGAGCGCCTACGACATGGTGCTGGTGGAGGACGATGAAGTGGTGGGTCGAGGGTCCGGGAGGTGACTGGGAATAGCCCAGCAGCATCGGGGAGAGGAGCTGGGTGCTCTGGGTGATGGTCTGGGTGGTGCGGGGAAGGGGTGGGAGATGCGGGATGGAGCTGGCTCCCACCCAGTTGCACCCAGTAAAGGTGTCAGCGCTTCCTCCGGGGCACAAGCAGCCCAACCAAGCCAAAACGCAGGGGCACGGGGCCGTGGCTCTGCCCTCGCCGCTGCCCACGAGGAAACCCCCCGTCCTGCCGAGCAGCCGCGGGTAAAGCAGCTCCCAACGCCGCCCTCCTCCCGAGAGCCACCGTCCCACCGGGGAAGCGAGCGAACCCCGAGGAGCCGGCCCCGGCGATGGAGAGGAAGAGAACGGGTCTCGATGAAGGAAAATCTCGCCCAGAGGCACCTCTTGCCTTGCTGTGCCCTCCAGGGTGAGCAGAAAAGCAGCGATAAGGGGCAGCTTTCACCCTCCCGGCAAGCGAAGGATGGCACAAGGGCGTTAAGCCAAGCCCTCTGGGTGCCCGGCGAGGGATGCTCCGGCAGAGCCACTGCTCCGGCAGCGGGGGAAAGCAGCTTCAAGGGCGGAGGTCTGGAGAGGGGGAAGCCGACAGCCCCAAAACGGGACGTTTCTCAGAAGAAATAAGGGGTGAAGAGGAGCAGAGGAGAAGCAGGCTGCCTTCTCGCCGGCCGAGGGGACCGGGGCAAAGCATCCTTGCTGGCATCTCCCACAGCGGCCGGTCCCGCGGATGCTCCCTGTGCCCTGGGGTCCAAACGCCTTCGCCGGGAGCTGGGCCGGGGCCGGGTTCTGCCGCCGGCGGGGCTCGCCAGGGCGGGCAGCCCTCCCTCCGCCACGAAGCAGCAGCGTGCGTAAGGCACAGGGGGGGGAAGGAGAGAGCGAATGTCCCATCAAAGCCCTCGGGAGAGGCCGGGACGCTTCCCCTGCGCAGGACGGGGCAGGATTTGGCCGAAGGCGGCCCTGCAGGTGCCCTGCTCGCTGAGGCCATACAGAAAAGCTCCTGGCTCAGGCGTTAGCAGGCCTCATTGAGAGAGCTTTAATCTAGATTCGAAGGGGGAAGGGGATAAAACCAGGCTTGCTAGGGATGAGCCCAGGGGTGGCACGCCTGTGCTGGAGAAGAGATCGATAGCCCAGCTGAAGTGCATTTACACCAACGCACGCAGCACGGGCAACAAGCAGGAGGAGGTGGAAGCCATTGCGCAGCAGGAAAACTATGATGTGGTCGCCATCATGGAAACACGGTGGGGTGACTCGCGCAACTGGGGTGCTGCAACGGACGGCTGCAAGCTCTTCAGAAGGGACGGGCAAGGAAGGATTCACCAAGGCTCAGGGCCGGGTCCTGCACTGGG